GGTTCCCTCTAGTATAATAGCAAATTTTAATGAGCGATTGCATACTCATTAGCCTCCCAGCCACTTCATTCTTACTCTTGGGTTTATACCCTCTCATCCTGTTGACTTATTGCTCCTCAGTTTATCAATTTGTTCCAGCACTGTCTCTTTTTATACCTCAGCCTCTTTCAGTACCTCATCTTTATTACTTGTAAAGAGTAAATGTCCCCTCATGATCCTTTCTGGTGAAGAATGGTGCAAAGAAATAATTTTGTTTCTTTGCAATGCCCTTTTCCTCTCTAATCACTCCCTTTACTCCCTGGTAGTTGAGTGGACACAGCAATTCATTCACAGACATCCTGCTTTTGACACATTTAAATTATTTCTTATTTTTTTAATGTCTTTACCAACTGCTATTTAAAATCCGACTTAGCCCACTTAAAACCATTTTACTTTATACCTGTCATAGTGCTTTCAACTGACTTCATTTGGATGATTTCTATTTTCTGAAGGAAATTTGTGTGCAGAAATAAAATCTTGTATCTTGCCATATTTTTTTTTCTTATCTACCTGCTTCCTTTTTTGTTTAGGACTATTCAGAGTCTCCGTTGTCTTTGTTAAATAAATAACCTCCATACTAGATCTAAGGATTTTTACTTTTTCACTTGTGACTTTAGGGACTTTTTGACTAGCTTTCTGTTTTGATCTCCAGCTACCAGAACAGCTCCTTAGAGCCACTTGGCTACATCATAATTTTTGATAACATCCCTTACATAGACCCTGCCCAGTGCAAAGACAGCCAGAGGGTTATTTCTGGAAGCACCTCTTGCACTGTGAGCCCCTTAGCAGCAACCAGGATCAGGATGCACAGAGCTATATCCCTGCAAATCCCCGGTTTAAAGGTTCAGGCAAAGGGGAGACTGCAGCCTAGTGTGGGAATCTTCCCTTTCTACATCTTCTGCAGCCCACCCCTCTAAACCAATGAAGACTTCCCTCTACATCTCTCCCAGCTGTGCTCAGGGACACCACATTGCCTCTGTACTCTGAGGTCCTACACAATTCCTTTTTCTTTATAAAGTATTTCTTTACTTGTGTTCACTTAATCATTCTTGATATTTGCAGATTTGCAAGAAGTGATTGATTTAGTACAAATCAGAATTAATTACTTAAAAATCACTAGGTAATTTCCAACAAAAATTATCTGGAGTTACTCAGTTCCTGTTAGAAATGATTTAGGTTTATATTACTAATCCTCAGTAAAACAATTCTCTTGTCATTTATTAATGATTAAATGATTTTAGGCTATCACTAATACATGCCAAGTAATAAGTTTGCTGGTAGTTAATAATTAGAAACGGAGTAATTTTTAACAAATATTAAACAATTCTGAGCAATTCTAAGTAACTACTGGTAAATGAGAAGTAGCTATTTTGCCTGATATCCAGTAATTAATACATTTTGAGGTTTGGAGGTTTATATTTTTAATGGGGTTGCTGGGTGTAAGCTGGATTTGAATTTCAGATTTAAGTTCTAGTCCAAATTTAGTAAAAAAAAAAAAAAGAGAGAGAGAGAGCGAGAGAGACAAAAATTTCACTGTGTTCTCCAGACTGTTTAATTTTGAAAGAGTTATTTTTGCACTTTAATAGGAGGGTAGAAGTAGATCACACCTCCACTTATCTTACAGCTTTCTTTCATTCCCTCATTATTCTGCTACATCTCTCTTTTCTGACCCCTCTTCTACTCTTGCTATGGCTTTGATCCTGCAAAGATTCACACATCTGCTGAACTTCACCTGCATGAGTAGTCCCAGTGAAATTAAGATCATGCATAAGACTTTAGTGCCTTAGACTCAGAGGGACAAATCGATAGGTAATATATGAGAGAGTGTAAATAACATGTTGGAAAGTAGGTGCAAGTCTAAGTTTGTGTAACAACACTGAGCAGACCCACGTTACACCTGCTTAGACTCCCTCAGGCTAGGTCTACACTACCCGCCTGAATCGGTGGGTAGAAATCG